AAAAAGAGAGAGATGAGGTGGCCTATTAGATGCTTGTCGCCCTCGTGTAAGGAATAACTAGGGGTTGCCATGACCTACTCTGAACGTGCTTAAGTCACTAAAAACTGAGAGGAGTCTAGGCTCTGATACGGCAATTGTTTACCCAGTTAGGGCAACCCAAGAGGGGGGGTGAATTGGGTTATTAAAAATTTCAGCACAAATATGATATAACACAATAGTTCAGGAATTTGGAAATAAATAAAGAAAGCAAACAGAATAATAATCATCAATATAAAGTAGAGAGAGATAGGAGAGAGAAAATCCAAAACTCTGCGATTTATAGTGGTTCGTGCACGCCAGGCCTACGTCCACTCTCCCCAAGGAACCTCCTTGAGCAATTTCTTTACTATCTAATCTGAATAAATACACCACCAAGCTTGTGGATTTTGGCACAGGACTTACTCCTTATCTATTGAGCGCTCGACTCAACAATAAATGCCTTACCCTTACAAAATCTCTCGACAAAATAAGGAATAAAGAATAAGTGGTATTGAACCACTTTTCAATAATTCTGCTCACAAAGAGCTAGATATGAAAGTGTAAGAACAAAAACTAGACTTAGATGCTGAAAGTGAAAGAGCAGAATACTCAGAAATTTTGGCAAAGCTCACCGAGAATATTTTCTCTTCAAAGTTCTTGATTTTTTCTTCCACATCCAACACCATCTATTTAATACAGCAAAATAAATACCGCGTTGGACGCTCGCTTGCTGGAACGTCATGGCTTACATACCAGCACGCTCCTGACGCCATCGCTTACATAAGCATCGCTTTGATGTCATCCGCCTTACATACAGGGGCAGGCTTCTTGATAGTTTTCATTGATTACATAAGGCACACTCCTTAAATTTTGGAATAGTGCAACAAAGATAAAAATAAAGAACTGGAGTTTCTTTTTCCTTTTTGTTATTTCAAACATGGAGCCACCGATTTTTGTAGACAGTTTAATCAAAGTTCACAACTTTCAAACAAATCAATTTTTCTCCTCTAGTTTTAATATGATATTAAGTATATAGTAGTGACCATATAACTATTAATAACTCCAATCTTATTTCTTCTGTAGTATTGATTATAATATGAGATAGTTAGAAATCAAGTGTAGATCTGTAAGAAAGTCTATAGATATAGATTGCGCAGACAATGTGTAGTGAGTATTCTGCATAGATAATACTGCTATGCAAGATGTAAGTCATCTTGGTACGAGGAGTCAAATCAATTCCTTGCGCATAACACATGAAGAAGCAAATCTCATATAAAGTAATCATTTATGTATGGATACTGAAAATATATGTCATCTTTAAAAATATTGTATATGTTTTGTAATGATTTTAAAGCTAAATGTATTTAAGCCCGAACTGGAGGTGCCACTCCATATTAATTTTGTCAAAATAAGACAACCCATAAATATCAAATTTGTCAACCAATCAATCATTTTTGTCAAAATAATATAATTAATTGATTTGTCAAAAGATGAATAGTAATTAACCCTATTTTTCAAAAAGTGAATAGTAAAGTTTTTTGAAAATATTTAAAATAATCATTTTTGTCAAAATAATATAATTAATTGATTTGTCAAAAGATGAATAGTAATTAACCCTATTTTTCAAATAAATGAGTGAGAGAGAGGCGAAAATAATCATTTTTGTCAAAATAATATAATTAATCGATTTGTCAAAAGATGAATAGTAATTAACCCTATTTTTCAAAAAGTGAATAGTAAAGTTTTTGAAAATATTTAAAATAATATTTAACATATATATTTTAAAAAGATAATATTATTTTATTTAAATAATATTTAACAAATATATATATTTTAAAAAGATAATAATTTGTGTCAAATAATATGTATATTAACTAATATATTTTAGACATCATCAAAATTAAATAATATGATTAACACTCTTGATCACAAACAACGCTTGAACACACAAGATTACACATTACTCTCATGAATTCAAGAATCAATGCTTACCTAGAGGCTCAATCTTCACAATTTAAGGTAAATTCTTGAGCTAGCCTCCAAGATCACTAAGCTTTAGGACCAAAATCTCAATTTCCTTCACCCTCTCTCTCTTAGCCGACCCTCTCTCAGGTCTAAGAGTTTTTCATCAGCCAAATGAAGTGTTAAAGGAGAGAAATGAGGGTGTAGTTGACCGTTAACAAGCACCCACTCAACATCATTTTATTTATAAAACAATTGGGCATTTAATTTATCAATTTAATCAGTTTAAATTGACCAGGATCAATTTTCAATTAAATTTCACCGTAGGCTCTAAAAATTATGCCAATCATAGTGGCGTAATCAATTTCGGGCTCTGTGGCCGATAAGGCCCTCAATTTAATTCCCGAAGCGGATTATTCAAACAGATATTCCTACGATGAACAGATAAAACTTCAAAATCATAAATATTCGCACAATGACACACAAAGTCATATCAAAACATATAATCACATTGGCATTTGGGACCAATTAGCATAATACAGAACAGGGGTGTCACAATTTGTGTCAAGGAATATATGCATAAGGTTCGAGGATAAGTTGGAGAAAAATAAGCAATGTGAGATCTCTGAAAAGGCGCGCCACTTCTCTTACATTCGCAGTAAATATGATGTTGTAAAAAAATTTGAGTTGTTATATGAAGTGAAGTGGTTACGCACCTTCTTACCTTTTGCAAAACCATCTGGAGCTGAATTTTGCTACTTGAGTAAGAAAGTGCTGCATGAACTGTTGCCAAAATTAAGACGTTTACGAGTGTTATCTCTGAGTGGTTATTACATTACAGAACTTCCTGACTCAATTGGCAAGTTCAAGCACATTCGGTATCTTGATCTCTCTTGGACTGAAATCAACAGCCTTCCTCAATCTTTGAATACTCTATACAATTTGCAAACACTGATATTATGTGAATGTAAGCTTCTTATTCAGTTGCCTACAGACATTGGAAAACTAATTAATCTACGCCATCTTGATATCAGTGGAAGTGGAATAACAGAAATGCCATTAGGAATAAATAATTTGGTGAGCCTCCAGACGATGCCTGAGTTTGTGGTGGGTGCTACTGGATCAGGGATAGGGGAGTTGAGGAATCTGGCACATATTCAAGGTAGGCTTTGCATATCAAGGTTGGAGAATGTGGCAAATGCTTGGGATGCAAGAAGAGCCAATTTAAAAGATAAACAGGGTCTTAATGAATTTACGGTGGAGTGGAGCAATAATTTTGATGAATCGCGAAATGATGGTGTTGAATTTGACATTCTTGAGATGCTACAACCCCATCAGAAGCTCAAGGAACTTCTTGTCAAATTCTATGGTGGACTAAGATTTCCAAGTTGGATAGGGGATCCTTTGTTCTCTGTGCTGGTGTCTCTAAATTTAAGTGATTGCCAAAGATGTGTGTCCCTACCACCACTAGGTCAATTACCCTCTCTGAAAAAGCTCAACATCAAGGGAATGACTGGAATAAAGAGTCTGGGTGTTGAGTTCTACGGGCATGGTATTTCTTCTGGCATACCTTTTCCATCCCTGCAGTTTCTAAGCTTTGAGAATATGCCAGAATGGGAGGATTGGTCTTGTGTTGGAGGCAATGCAGATTTTGAAGGGTTCCCCATTCTCTCTGAGCTTTATATAGAGACATGTCCCAAGCTATTAAAGAAATTACCTGAATGTCTTCCTTGTCTGAAAAAACTAGTGATACATGAAAGCCAGCAGTTGACTTCTTCACTCCCAAGGCTTCCATTGCTTCATGAATTAGATTTGAAGGGATGTGATCAGGCATTGCTGAGTGGTTTACTTGACTTTAGCCTACTTGCTTCCTTAAACATTCATAATATTCCAAATCTCATATGTCTACCTGAAGGGCTGACACGGTGCTTAACAGAACTGGAGTTGTTAGTGATTGCAAATTGTTCTGAGCTCATGTATTTGATAGGGAGTGAGGTTGGGTTGCAACACTTAACTTCTCTTCGGCATCTTGTAGTTCAAAACTGTCCACTGCTGGTTTTCCTGTCAAAGGAAGAGCACCAGCAGCTGCCAGGTAAGCTAGAATATTTGGAACTAGATTCTTGCCTTGGCTTGGAGAAGCTCCCTTCTGCTTTGCATAACCTTATATCTCTTCGAGAACTGACAATCAAGGACTGCCCAAGAGTTGCATCATTTCCTGAGACCGCTTTGCTATTGAGATTGAGAGGTCTTGCAATCCGAGGATGTGGTTTGGAATCATTACCTGAATCAATGATTCATAGCAGCAATGCATCTCTTGAGTACTTGAACATCAGTGGGTGCTACCTTCTTACTTCATTTCCAAGAGGGGGTGAGCTTCTTCCCACCACGTTCAAGCAGCTGACTGTTGACCATTGTCCCAATTTAGAGTCCCTTCCCGCAGGGACGATGCATAGAAGTAACATGTCTCTTGAAGTAGAGGTTTTTGACTGTTCTTCAATCATGTCCTTTCCAAGAGGCCAGTTACCTACAACATTGAAGATACTGACTATTTGGAATTGCTCCAATCTAGAGTCACTAGCAGATTTGATGATGCAAACAATTTCTCTCGAATCATTTCGGATTGGGGACTGCATGAATCTTAAATCCTTACCCAACAACCTTCACAAGTTCAGATCTCTTGGTTATTTGGAAATTGATGGGTGCCCTGGTCTTGCTTCATTTCCTCAAGGAGGCCTTCCCACCAGCAGCCTCAAAACGGTTAATATCATCAATTGCGAGAATCTCAAGTCCCTACCGGAGCAGATGCAAAGCCTTACTTCTCTTCAAGAACTGCAATTATCTAATTGTCCCGGCATACTGTCCTTTCCAGATGGTGGTTTACCCACGAACCTTGTATCACTAGATATCAAGGATTGCAAGAATATGAGGTCCCTGTCAGAGTGGGGTTTGCATAGGTTCACCTGTCTCAGAAAATTCTCCGTTTATGGTGGATGTCCGGATCTTGCCTCTTTTCAAGAGTGGCTACTTCCTAGTACATTGACCACTCTTCATGTTGGAAGGCTCTCAAATCTAGATTCCCTATCCACTTGGTTGTGGAATCTCACATCTCTTGAAGAACTGAAGATCAAGGAGTGTCATAAGCTGCTTTCTTTGCCAGAGGAGGGGCTGCCCCCTATGCTCTCTTGTCTTGAGATCAGTGACTGTCCTTTGCTTCAACAACACTGCGAACAGAATTGGGCTAAGATTGACCATATTCCCTGCATAGTGATGTAGATGATGAGCTGAAGAGTTGAAGACTCTCTTTACTCTGAGAAAACAGCGAAATTTTTTTTCCAAATAATATTTTAACCAGGTAAGATTCTCCCTTCCAAATTCAACCTCTAATGTACATAAAAAAAAATTTAAAAAAAAAGTTTTAATGAGTATCACTTTTATCACTGTAATCCTTTTCTTCATCCAACTCATTCACTCACCCATCTGAATTGTTGGTTGGGCTTTCCACTGTTAGTTCAGTTAAGAATTTTAGGGGAAGGTTCTTGTGTCAGTCATGCAAACTTCATTCATTGTGAGCTTTATTAATTCTGCCTTCATATTATATTTGTTAATGCATTCTTAAACTGTACTTCCAACATTCTTGGACTGTACTTCCAACAATAATCTTTAGAAATGTGTGCAACAGAAAAAGCTTGATATGCCTTATTTTTATTCTGTAGCACTATGAGCATATACCCAGAAGACATCGTAAGTCCTTTACTTTGTAGTATTATGGCCCATTAGACAACAATGCTAAATCTCACTTTCTGTCTTGAGTTATAACTATTATTATTTCTATATCAGGGAATTTTTTGGTTCCATTCACTTTAGGCACCATAACATAAAGAAATAACAAAATTAAAAGCATTGTCTTGTGTAAAAGATTTGTCTTGTGTAAAAGTTGCAAGGTGTTTGGCTTTTGTGATTGTCAGGTGAAAAAAAATTATTAATGAAAAGATATATTTTCAAGTTAACGTGCATCAGAAAATGAATTTAGTTGTGGTTTCATTATATTTGAAGGGTTTCTTAAGAGGTTGCATGTGCATTACTCTTAATAGACTAGTTCTCAATTAGCATTACTCTTATCTGAGGACTTCATTGTTGTTTTGACTATGTCCATGGGCTAGTCTCCTGCTTTCGGCAAGGAATGTTGCCATTGATATTGATATTTTCAATTAGATGCATTTTAAATTTGAACATCTGATACACATACAAATAGCATGTCTTTTCTTTTTTGTTCTGTTTTAGTTTCTATCTGTTTCAATGTCATTATGGTTCTCAAAATCCTGACAACCTGCTGCCCGGGTAATTTTGTTTTATTATTTTTTCTGGTTTGGGTCCTAACCATGGACCTTAGGCACAATCTTAATTTAAATTGGAAAATGCTATACAAACTAACAAATCTAACCTACAGATGGGCAACTTGCTTGATTATATTTTTTCCATTTCAAGTTTACTCATTGCTGTAGGTGCTCATTGGATTGAACCAGAGACCTTCTCGGCTTGCACTATTGATGGAAATATCATAATCGGGGCTACTTATGAAGGGCAACCTGAATACATCCAGATTTTTGTGAAGGCACTTGGAGGCACCATAACTGGTTCTGATAAATGGATTCTATCTCTCTATGAGGTAAGTGATATTCTTCTTGTTTACGAAGAAAATGGCTTTAGGATATTCTTTACCTATATTCAAGATATATAAATAGTAATAGTGAAGGCAATTATTTTGGGGTTCTGCTTTGTTGTTGTTATCTATGAAATGGTTTTTTTGATATAATCTTCACCCTGCCACTTGGTTATTTTATGATGAGCTTGAGCTGAGACAATTCATCAAGAATTAGGATTAAGCCTTTCAGGAATCAGGTGACTTAAATACTAGAATTGCCAACAAAGAGTCATATTTCTGTGAACTATGGAAAATGCATCCTTTGGGTCTATAACTTTGTGTACATAGAATTCTCTTTCTTAGCTTTTATGCGTCCCAAGCCCAGGTTTCATCTTCTAAGGTATTCTGCTATGAAACTCGGTGATCTTATTTCGGCTAAAGTGAGTCAGGCTCTGGTAACCCTTTGAAACTTTCAAGTTCTAGTTCGGTTATTGACTACAGTGATCTACCTATTTGGGGCAAACAGGATCCTAGTTCGGTTGCTACCTAGTTTTGGATCTAAGGCAAGTTTTTTACAGAAGTTCATGCATATATAAGCTCTGCTATTGTTTATTCGTGAAAGTACAAAAGCGAAGCGTCAAAAATGAAAGAAAATGTTTGCAAAAGACATACAAAACAAGATATACAGATGCGAAAGCAAAATAAAGGAAGCAAAGTGAGTCTACTTACCAGGTGGAAGAAGTGGGATCTGATGATGGGAAAGTGGCAGCAAAATCAGTTCTCAAAAGTGAAGGAAGAACACGAACGGTAAGAACACAGAAAGAGGAGATGAAGAATGGAAGGTGAATGATCCAAGAAAAAGAAGGGTTGTTTTGTGAAAGAGGAGAGAGAAAAACGCGGCAAAAAGGGGCGGGACTGTTCAAAAAGTTCGGAGTACGAAGGCGGCGTGATGACAGCTCACGGCCTATCAGAGCCCGCCACGTGGCAAGGGAAAGGGAAGCGTTACAGTCGCGATTGAAGAGACGTTTTGACCGGGTAAAGCAGAGTTCGGAGTAAAACTAGCTCGGCTGGATACACTGAAGGGTTTTTATCTCGGCTGGAAAGGCTTGTAGAACTTCAGCTCGGTTGAAGGATCTGTAATCTCAATCATGCTATGCAGATGAAATTAAGGGGCAATTGAGAGGGTAATTTTTTGGGAAAGAATTGGGCCGAGCTGTGAGTTGGGGCCTGCGGCCCAAAGTATGAAAGAATCGGTAAGAAACCGTAATGTTATTTCGGCCCAGTAGAGGTATAGGTACTCCGGCCCAGGAGAAGTGAAGTTATTCCGGCCCAGGAGGGGTTCGGTTACTCCGGTTCAAGAATGTGCAAAACAACTCCGGTCCGGTGGCAGTTTGAAGTGAGTCCGGCCTTGCATTTAGTCCGGTCGTGACATATTATGGTTAGGTCGGTCAGAACTTGCTATTTGGAAGATTGATCTAAACACACCATGGTTGAACAGGGGAAAGCCGAGATAAGGAGTTGGAGGAGAAGTCCGAGCTAAGGATAGTTCGGCCTTCTCTGTAGCTCTGCATAGCCAATTTTTATTTCGGTTAAATGGTAGTTCGGCCATGGAGGAAACCATCCCACTTGGTTTAAGCAGTGGGGGAGGGTGTAAAAGGATAAGCATTATCCTTAGGAGTATGAATCCTAGGAGGACTCTGTATGGAGAAATAAAAGTCCTACTAGGATTATGCCACTCGAAACCTATAAAAGCTCACAAGCACCACCTTGGAGGAGGTAATTTTGAACACAATTCTTTCTGAGAGCATAAAACTTTGTCTATTTGTCAAGTTTACTGACTTAGGCATCGGAGAGGTTTCCGGCACACACCCGCCGGCTAGCTCACGTTTGTGTTTTCAGGTGATAAAGCGACGTCGTACGGAGGAGCGTGGACTTGGTCAACAGGATTATACGAGGAGAATTATTTCCTCCCCGTACACTTCTTATGAGCTTTGAGGGCATCATTAAATTCAATAAAGGAGCATCTCTACAGTGTCATTATGAGCATATAACCAACATTATTCTTCATGTGCCATGTGTTATCAGAAGCTGTCCAGAGTGGTCATTCACAACTATTTGGTCATGTTAAGAAGATGAAAAAAAACCAGTTCAGGAGTGTAATTGGTGCTTATTCCTACTGTATAATTATTCCATTAAATAGTGCTGATTGCTTTGTTAACACTTCACACATATTAATCATCGTATCATAAATCATGATACACAAGTGGGACCACTGGTTGAGTGGTTAAAACGCAGCCCTCAATCTTGAGGTTGTGGGTTCAAACGTGAGGGCAGCCACTTTGTGTAAATAATGCCAAAGGTTGACAACTACTTTGCACAAACTCTGTCATCTGTCATTTCTTCCTTCATTTCATAACCAAATGTTCTCTTGCTTCGCTGCTCTGCTCTGCTCTGCTATTCAATCAATCAGTTTATGCCTCAAATTCCTATTCACTAGTACTATTAATTCATTTTTTTCTTTGGTTTTCCTCTATATCTATCACAATTTTCTATTTCTCCTTTTTCCTACCAGGCCAGAGAGTTGAATTGGGTTAGAGCAAAAAAGGGTGGTGTCCGATTGACATGAGGCTGTTGCTGAAGTTCTTTTGACCTGGTTTTGTTTTAAAAACCCTCTAATTTTCTTTCTTTAATAATTATTTTTGTCTTGTTTGTTGAAGTTTCAGTTTGAATTTCATGATTGATTTAATTCGTTTATGTAATAACCCGATCCTCTCATATGCTTTAATTTCTCATTAGATGTGTGATTATACGCGTGTTTATATATTTGACATGAAATTTCATATTTTAATATGTGGATTATATAATTATGAAATTATATCTAGTGATTATGAGAAAATTTGTTGAAATTGTGACATTTGGATTAGAAATTGAAAGCTTTAGAGGCACAATAAACCGAAATTGACTTTACATTTATGATCAGCATGATTTTTAGGACATAATATAAATTTTTGTAAAAATTTGATTCGTAACGAATTAAATTGAATTATTTAGGCTCATAACTCAAGCCTTAGATACATATATGAACCTAAAGAAGAAATTTAAACTCAACTTTTATAAAACTATCTCCTGGGAGAGCTCTAGAGAAAGAAAAGAAGAAAAAAAAAAGAGAAAGAAGGAAGAGATCAACCAAGGGGTGGAGATTGAAGATCTTAGAAGGGAGTTTTGAAGAATAGAGTTGAAGGTATGTGTCAACTAACTAAATTCCCTAAATCTCTCTCCAATTGCTTAGCATCAAGCTTTTAAATGGAGTTTTTCCACTCACCCAAGCTAGGGTTTTGAAATAGTGACCATGGTTGGGGAAATATTCATGCAACCCATCAAGATTCATGGTAATTGTTTGATTTGAGAGTTGATCCTTGTGTTTTAAATTATGTTGAGTAGTTTGTCAGAAACTACCTTCCAATCTTTAGTGTTTGCATATATGTTTGTGTATATGTTTGATAAATCATGGATAGATGAAGAAATGGAATGAATGTGACCATTTGGGGTTGTAATTATGCAATTAAAAAGAGTTATGATTTACTTGAGCATGAGAATCATGTCTATTATGTTTATATACTATGTTTTGGGGAATTATATTGCTTGATTTAGAGCTTTGAATTGTCTTTAGAAAGCTGAAATTGTTGAATTTTCGGACTGCTCAAATAGAACCCAGAATCGCACGTGCGGGGCTCATAGCCGCACGTGTGGAAAATAGGGGAGCCAAATTGAGCATCCTGAAATAAAAGCACATGCAGAGCCACATGTGTGGTACGCCTTCCTGGACGTGCGGTGGAGGGCTTCCGCATGTGCAACCAGTGGGAAAAATTTTTGTCAGTTTCTTTTACTCTGTTTGACCGTCTGAATCTGTTTATATGTACATTTGATCCGTTTAAAATACTTAACAATGAATGGGAAGTGAACGAAATGAAAGAATGAGGGAAGATATAAAAACAAAGAAAAGAATGATTTACTTATCAATTGTTGCGTGTGATGTGTAGGTCACTTGCCGGAAGAAACCATTGCAGGCAGATGCGGAGCCAAGAATTTAGTATAGGGGGGGCACCCATTAATTATAATCTCAAAATTTTTCTTTTCTAATCAATAACAATAACATAATAATAATTTTTCGAGCTAATGTTAAACATTAAAAATTAATATCCATTACAAAAAGTTTTAAAATTTAAACTTTTACAATTGACCTCGATGAGTTTTCATCTTTTGAAATCTTTCCATAATAGTATCATTGTCACCATCTTTCAACCAAGCTATCGTTTATCGTTTATCATTGTCACCATCTTTCCATAATTGTAAAAGTTTTCATCTTATCTAGTCTCTACCATTTTCTTAGCAAGATCGACAATTCCATTCAACATTGAGAACTCACTATTGGATAGCATGTCGATAATATATGTATCAAGTTGATCATTAAGTATCATGAGCTCCACTGAAGAAAATTCTTTGGGATAAAATTCAGTAAGATGAATTAACTTTTTCTTGTTAAAACTAGAGAAAGAGTTAAATGGATTCAAACATAACACACAAAGTAACAAATCAATGTTCGACTCAGTGAAACGAGCATTTAGTTCTTGAACTTGCATATCCAAAACAATGTAGAATAACTCAGCGCAATAGTGATGTAAGTTTGTAATTTCTTGAGCATTGCGTCTTTTTCTCCCTCGAGCTACAAACATATCTTCCATTTGGGGAACATCAATTTCATGCTTTTCACAAAAAGACAAAATATCATCAAGTAAAGATGTCCACCCACTCTCCCTTATCTTTTGGAGTCATACTTTAGAAATTTGAACTAAATTTATGGCATTAACAATATCTTGATCTTTCCTTTGTAGTGCTTGCGATAACTCACTTGTAATAGCCAATATCGTTTTCATCAAATGAAGGTTGAATACAAACTCAAATGGTTGAATTGAGTCCAACAATACATTTGTTTCTGCTCATTGTTCTAAATTTGAACCATCCTTCGAAATTATTTCAAGCACATTAATCACTGTTGAAAACATACTAGCCAAGCTGACTAAAGTACCATAGTGTGAACCCCAACGTGTATCACCAGTACGTTTAAGATTAGTTTCTTGATTTAAGCCTTGCCCACTAGATAGCTCTCCAGTATTAAGTGCCTCAACAACTTTTGTAGCTTGCTTCTCCTTAACAATATCTCAGCGTTTACATGATGCTCCAACAACATTCACCACATTAGAAACCAAAGTGAAAAGTAAAGCAATTTGATTATGATTCTTTGCCACGGCTACAAGTGCCAATTACAATTGATGAGCAAAACAATGAACATAATATGCACAAGGATTCTCTTTCAGTATAAGTGTTTTAAGACCATTGAACTCACCTTGCATATTACCAGCCCCATCATATTCTTGACCCCGCAATCTGGAAATACTCAATCCAAGTCTGGAGAATAAATTTTCCATAGCTTGTTTAAGTGATAGAGCATTTGTATTAGCAACATGCTCAATACCCACAAAGCACTCAATCACTTGGCCTTTTTTGTCAACATATTGTATTACAACTGCCATTTGCTCCTTGATTGATATGTCACGGGTCTCATCAATCAAAATAGAAAAAAGTGCATCACCAAGATCTCTAATAATCACATTGATAGTTTCAAATGCGGCTACATTTACAATGTCTTTTTGAATATCAAGAGATATCAACTTGAGATTTTGTGGAGCATTGCTCAATGTAACCACTTTGACATCTTCATTATGATCAGCAAGAAACTTGAGAAGTTCAAGAAAATTTCCTTGGTTACTTGAATTTTCAGATTCATCATGCCCACGAAACGCAAGTCCTTGTCTTAGAAGAAATTTAACACAATCAACTGATAAATTCAAACGGGTTCGGTACTCAATTCGAGCTTGATCAGATTGTTTGAAAAAAAATTGCTTCAATATGTTGGTTTTGGTTTAACAAGTCATGACATTTACTCGAAGCTTGATTATGAACACTATTGGGGCCTCCTACATGAGTCTGAGTTTTTTCTTTTTTCTTCCAATTTGAGAAACCCTCACCAACAAAAAAATCACCACCAGCTTGATCTCCAATATCGAGTTTGAAAAGATAACAACATAAACAAAATGTTGCATCTTTTGCTACGCTATACTCCAACCAATTAGGAAATTCACTAAACCAAGCCTGATTAAATCGCCGAATTTTTTGTACAAATGATTTTTGTGGAAAATTATGATCATGAAGTTGACAAGGACCTTTTTGTAGATATGCCCTACGAATTCGGTCTCGATCATTAGCATTGTAGTCCATAATCCGAGGCCGTAGTCCTGGATCTGCAAGAAGGTCTACTAAGTTAATTTCTATGCGACTTTGTTTTGTAGAAGAATAGTTATCATATTTTTCTTGAGAAAAAGATGATTCCAATTTTGATTTTCTTTTGAAATATTTCTCCATGACTGTTTGGAAAAACTAAAAATCAAAATAAAAATTCATAATCAAAATCTTAAACCCCCCACAAATTAAAATCTCCAATTTTAATACAAATCAAAAAATTTAAATTAGCACAAATCACAACAAATCAAAATTTTTAATATTATCACAAATTATAACAAATCAAAATTTCTAATTTAAATATTAATCACTGCAAATTAATATTTTTAATTTTAGCATAAATCAAATCCCTAATTTTAATACAAATCACCACCAATTAAGATTCATAATTTTAGCATATCAGAATCTCTTATTTTAACATAAATAATAACAAATCAAAAAAATTTACAAATCAAAACTTAACAAATAATTATAAATTAATACTTATAATTTTTATTTAAAAGTAAAAAAAAAAAAAAGTGTTACTTGTAAGCAATGAAGAAAAGATACCAAGGTTGTAGTGTGGTCCCAAATCTGTGTTGTGTGATCCTAATTTGGTGAATCGCAAGCCGATAAATTGCAAAGCAAAAAATGGAGACAAAGAAGACAAAGAAAATACGAAGATACTTCACAAGTACTGTGAATAAATGAAAAAAATAAAAAATTTCATACACTTCTAAGGTTTTAGAGTTTTACCCTTACTATAATTGGAGTTGTGTGTACTCACCTAAAAAAAAGTTGTCAGTATTTAATTGGGATTGGGATTGAGATTCCAAAAAATAAATAAATAAAATAAAATATACAAACATGGTGCGTCGTGCGTGTGGTGTGTGTGGGTTAGTGGGTTTGAAATTGTGTATTAGAAGGAGGGGCACAAGGCAAACTACACTTAAAAAAAAAAGAAATTTTTTTTTTTCAAAAGTCAGGGGTGGCATGTGACCTCCCTGAGCCCAATGTCCTTTCGCCACTAATTGCATGACTAGATCATTGTGAGTAACAGTAGTGTAAAGATATACTCACTTGTATTTATTTTGATACGTTAATGCGTGATACACGAAGTTATGTTATTCGAATGAAAGAGCTACAAGAATCGAAATATGGAATGTGGTTATGAGATGAGACTTGTTTATAGTTATTATTGGGCCTGAGGCCGTTCTGTTATTATTGGGCCCAAGTCCATTCTGTTATTATTGGGCCTAAGGCTGTTTTGTCATTATTGGGCCTGAGGCCATTCTGTTATTAGAATTGGGCCCGATGCCATTCCGTTATTATGATTGGGCTCGAGGCCATTGTGAAATGTATCGAAAATCAAAAGAGATATACATGAGTTACGTACATGCTTTACGTTTTGCAAGGCACATGCTCGTATACATGCTTTAGTACATTATTATTATTCACTGAGCTTGGCTTATTTCGTGTTCATGTATGTTATGTAGGTGGTCAGCTTGGAGGCCAGCCCTAGGTCAGCTTTAGGCCCCTTTTTGTGGAAATTTTTGGTTAAGCCCAAGTGGAGTTTTTTGTTTCTTAGGAAGTTCAGTGCCACATTTTTGTATTGTTTTTGGTGGCTTGTTGAACATTTTATGCTCATGTAACTCTTGAGTTGGTAACCATTTATATATATATATATATACACCTGCCTTGGACTGTATTTATCTGAATGGCGCATGTGAACTTCTCCGTTTAAGGGAAGTCGTGTAATGATCCTAGCATTTACGCACGACTCGATGGACATTGTATTATTTAATGACTTTCGCTTTAGGCCCCTGTGTTGAATTGATTATTCTTTGATTTTGACTTGAGGCCTAAGTATAGGCCAGTCATGTCCTAAACTTTTAGGGGCAGGTATGGGTCGTGACAGTTTGGTTGTTGGAATTAATGGGGAATGAATAGAAATCGTAATTTGGGTAAAAAATTAATAGAATAAGATTTGTTTCTTTGGTTGTGTCTTTGTTTAGTTTCTTGATAAAATATATATATATATATATATATATATATCTTGATAAAATATATATATATATATATATATCAATTCTAGAAAACATTCAAGTTAAGTTAGTTGCTCTCCTTTAACTGGTTATATATGCTTCACACATTCATTATTTCGGCTTAGAACCTCTAAATCATTTGGAGTCACACATTCATTACTCTATGGCCTCGTTTGTTTTGGGGGATAAAGGAGGGATTGGATTAAGATAGAGGTGAAACCCATTAATATTGTGTTTATTTACAAATTTGGAAAGATGATTCATAATACCTTTGGATTATGATGGGCCTTAGGTGTTGGGATTGATAGTCTGCCCAAAGACTTGGTATTAGAAAGAGTACTGCTATTAGCACTCCATCAATTATTTTGGATCCTCTATTTCTTTGGACCCCCACTTGTAAATTGTAAAACTCTTAAAATTTATTTTATCCTCCCAAATAATACCAAAATTATATTTGTAAAAACTTTCCACCCATTCAAATGCATAGCCTCATACCCCAAAAACACAACACAATCCACTGTTATGCTTTTCTAGTTGATTTTTTGTCATTCATCCATGGCCTTACTGTACTTATATACTCTTTGTGTGTGCAAAATTAGGCAGAATTTCATCCCTCGGTTGACCGGCCGGTCGACCACCGAAGGGTGGTTCGATCTCCTTTGTTGGCTTGTTTCAACTGCTGCTTTGGTTATCTGTTTCTGAACAAATAAGAAATATTCGGTTACCTGTTCCTAAACAAATAAACAATATTTGGGCTTGTGTTCCCGAATTTCGGTCATATGTTTAGGAGTTCAATCTCGAAAAATGATGAACATTTATTTATTATTTTTGTCATTTTTTTTTAAGAAACTTACTCTTACAAGGTCAATCTCCTCTGAGTTTAAAACACCATCAAAGTTATCAACCTCTTTTAAGCTTTTATTATATGCCTCTTCTCACATGGAGTTGTGGTTACCGGAAAAATTTCCACACACATTGTCGTTACTAGAGGAGTGTATGTAATCAAATGGTTGCCACCATTGCCGTTGGAATATTGCCGCCACAGGGTTTTCAAGGTTTTGAGGGTGGGTAGGTTTTGAAGGTAGGATTTGGAGAAGATAGATAGGTGGTAATGGAGCTATGTGCTCTCATAAATCTTAACTCATAATGTAGTAGGTATGTGAGATTAATTGTGAGATGTGGTGTTTCAAAATTATTGATATCATGTTTAGTAACTTCACTTGAGGTTATTATTGTAATAAAAAAAAGTTAAAAAATGGAAAATTCTATTTCCACACACCTACTTACCTTTGTGTACAAACTTAATGATTATTTATTTATTTATTACTATTTTGTTCTAAAATAAAATTACTGAAGTGTCTGTATCTTCTTCACCAAAATCCTAATTTCTTAACCCTAACCTTAGGAGGCTCAGAAGGTTTTGTGCTTTGCTCATCAGGTTTGCTCTTCGACCTAGAATTTGCTTCAACTTCAGATTTTGAGCCACCATTTTCATCTCTTGATCCGGATATTTTCACTCGTTTACCATTTGAACTCTTTTGCCCAGAAAGAAAACAAAACCAATTTAGAGTTGACACCCCTGATTTTGATAAAGTGTATTATAGTTGGACTGAAAAATTTCCAATTTTTTGACAGAAAAAAATATGGAAAAATAGCATAATAAGTTATTCTTGGATCAAAGGTTTAAAAAGCACAAAAAATAATTAGTAGATATAAATTTGCATAAGACGTCTTAATTTCCATGAGCCAAGGAAGAACTAAATAGATTAACAAACATAAAAATAAAAGGATATATATGTATACTATGTGTTTGTATATATGTCTGTGTGAGGTTTTGATGTTAAAAGTTTGGATTTTTTTTAGTCTAGAGAATGACTAGCGGAGGGTAGAGGGAATGGCGGAGGCGGCGACAATGGTAGAAGGGGGTTGAAAAGGGGTAACTCAGAGCTGTCGCCATCGTCGATGCATGGTCATGGATGGCAATAGGCGATGGATGACAATGGGTGTTGGTTTAGGATTTCAATGTTAGAGAGAGGGATGTTTTTGACAAAAAGAATTGTACATTGAGTAAAATTACAAAATTTAAGGGTCCAAAATAATTGATGGAGGTGCTAATAGCAGCACTCATTAGAAAATTAGTTCGTTGGTATTAAGGAGAGATTTACTATTTACCCATGTTGACCTAGCTCATCACTTTTGTGGACAGCAAAAAGCTCAACGACTCTTAGCTGGACATATGTTACATCGGTAATACATTTTTTTTTTTTAAAAGCAAGCTATCAATTTATTTAGGATTTTTTTTTTGTTTTCTTGTTTTTTTTTTCGTGAATGGGTTTTGATTTGTGAGTTTATTTACCCCAATTTTTCCCTTGTTTTTTTTGTAGTTTGTGATTTGTAAATGGGTTTCTTTTTTTTTTCATTTTTTTTGGATTTATTATCTGTGATTTGATCCATCTTTTTTGGGGGTTTGAAACAAGCTAAAACATTTTCTTAAATCAAGTTATTAATTTATTTTAGATTTTTCTTTTTGATGACTAGATTTTATTGATAACATATCCACGCTGACTCTTCTTTGTGTGATGATTACCAACAAAAAATGAACTAGTTGATCTCAGCAAAAAGAAAAATCTGAACAATTTCTTTTTGGTTTACGACATATCCCATCTGTAGAAGAAGAATAGAAAATAATGATGAACAACAAGAAAAAGATCAACCAATTCATTTTATATTAGTAAAAGAAATAAAAATTCACCAACTCTTCTCTATGTTGATCTCTCTCTAATATAATATAAAAACTTAACCATGCAATGCATGACCACCTATTCTTTAACTCCGCCCAGAAATTTTTACACAGATTGGTATAGGTAAAAATAACAATGAGTAAAAATTAATTGATGGTTGCATTTTTTAATATTAAAAAAAAAATAACATTGAGTAAAAAAATTTTGATAGTTGAATTCTTTAATATTAAAAAAAAAGAAAAAAAAATACGTTGTATAGATATTTATTTAATCTTTAGTTGGTATAAGCCCAAATTTGATAATAATGCAACTGGTATTTGTGAAATTTTACATGGTTTTTTTTTTTTTTTGATCGGCAAAGAAAACTTTATTGATGAAGCACGTACAGGGTACAATGGAAAACATCAATAAAGAGGAGGAAGGAGCTAGAGGAAACTCAAACCTCCAAGTTGGTGAGAAACCAACAAAAGAGATAGCAAAAACAAAAAACACTGCAGCAATCCAAATTCTGCTAAGATCAGAAACAAAAAACCCTGCTAAGAACAGGACACTGAAACAAAATCCACTGAAATCAAGCACTCCAATGCACATCCAACATACTGCAGATTACCACTACAAAGCACACCCGAAGCAGCCAAGATTTGGACGAGGCAGATTAACACTGCACTGATAATTCGAAGACACTGCTACTAGAACTTCAACCGAAGCAGACCAACCGAACAATGCAGCAGCTCTGAACAAGCAAATTTCAGCCCAATGTAGCAGCTTAGAGCAGATAGCAACAGCAGACAGACAATGCAGATACCCAGCCACAAACAGCCCATAGCAGCCACAAAACAAAATTTGAACTTGGCAACTGAAATTTGAACAAAACAGCATAACACCTCTCATCCCACTGCACCAATTACATTTCATCCACTCTGCAGCAGCCACATAACACCAATCTGCTAGTGCATACCCACAGCGTAAGGCAGTCCAGCAAAATAAGCTTAATATTAAGCTTAATCTTCAGTAGTCCACAGCAGCCACCGAAATCCATTCCTACACCAGCAAATAGTAGCCATCCCCTGCAGATCCTCTCACAAGCAAAGCAGCATATATGAGAAGGGGCAGAACACAGACCGTAGACCATTAACCTGCATCCAAAACTGAATCCACACAGCAAAATTCCAAACTGGATCCGCCTCAGCTGCATTGCTTAATCTGATCCATATTATTAATTAATTCCATGGTAGAGTACATGAATCCCTTAGAAGATGCTTTAACCCACATAGCAAATCTGAACTTGATTGTCTCACATAAGTCAGACCCACATAGCTGCGCTCCATTAAACATACAATCATTTCTAAACTTCCAAATGGACCAAAGAGCAATAGGTGGTAAGGCTCTCCACAATCTCCTAACCACTTTCTTATAATCCCAACCTATCCACCAATGAAATAAACAATTAATTGTCCTTGGCACCACCCAAATACACCCCCACCATAGCATTAGGGTAGACCAAACTAGCCAAGAAAATGGACAGTGTAATAGAACATGAGAAGCAGATTCATTTTCATTTTTGCAAAAGGCACATAAGATAGATGCATTACTATTAAGGACACCAATATGTTGTAAATAATCCCCGGTTTTAACTCTATTCCTCTAAGCCAACCATCCGAAAAACTGGACTTTGGGGGGAATACCATTATTCCACACAAACTTACAAATTTTGAGTTGAGGGCCCATACTATCATCACTGAATTGATAAAGATCAGAAACCTTGAAACTACCACCAAAAGAACCATTCCAAATAGGATAATCTTCCACATCAACCTTCAAAGATGGAGCCACCCCCAAAATTGCAGCCATGCTGTCAACCTCCTCCTTCTCCCAATCGTATAAATCCCTTCGGAAAGATAAATTCCACTCCTCCTCACTGGATTTTCTTGCTGAATAACAGGACAACGTACCTTCCTTATCATTAGACAGGCTAAAAAGTCTAGGGAACTTGTCTTTAAAACATCTATCACCGACCCACTTATCATACCAAAACTTGATTCTGCACCCATTACCAACCTTTATCTGATACTTCCCCAAAAAGAACTCCACAAGATGTGGATTACGACCAGCAGTTGCAAGAACATCGCTCCAGATTCTAGAGTGAATAGATGATGAGAGCATTGGAGGCGTCCAATTAGCCTCTTCAATCCTATACTTGCTGCACAACACTCTTCTCCATAGGGCATTTACCTCACTACCGAATTTCCACCACCATTTAAGAATCAAACTATCATTGACATCCTTGATTCTCCTAATCCCCAACCCACCTTGATTCCTATTTTTTGATACTTCAGCTCACTTCACCAAATGAACTTTCCTCTTTAAACCATTCCCTCCCCAAAGGAAAGAAGCTTCCAACCTTTCAATCTCTCTAACCACTCCTAGACCTCATTTACACCAATTTTTACCCCTTTGAGAATGCCTTTTTCATTTGCCCTGTTCATTAAAATATTCAAACCTTCTACCACTATGTTGAATAAGAAAGGAGACAAGGAATCACCTTGTCTGAGACCTCTCTGTGGTGAAAATTCCTCAGTTGGAGAACCATTCACTAAAACAGACAACCTTACTGTAGATATACACTCCTTCATCCATGATACCCACTTTGACCCAAAACCAAAATTAGATAACATAGAGAATAGGAATGCCCAATTAACTGAATCATAAGCTTTCTCAAAGTCTAATTTGATAATAACACCTCTTCTTTTGGATTTTTTCCATCCATCAACAATCTCATTAGCAATAAAAACACCATCCAATATACTTCGCCCTCCCAAGAAAGCAGATTGTGTTTCACCAATAACAGTAGGAAGAACTCTCTTAAGTCTATTCGCCAGAACCTTGGAGAGAATTTTGTACATACTACCCACCAAACCAATAGGCCGATAATCTGACAGTCCAATGGGGTTATCAGAATTAGGTATAAGAGTGATAAATGAGCTGTTAAAACTATAGGAAAGCTTGCTATAAGCATGAAAATCCTGCAAGAAATGCATAACCTCAGGATGAACTATCTTCTAGAATTTCTAGAAAAACAACAAATTAAACCCATCAGGGCCTGGCGCCTTATCACCACTACACTCCATAACAGTTGCCTTAACTTCATCTACAGAAAAATCAACTTCCAGAGCATGGAACGTAGCACTTTCTGAAACTGATTTAAAGGTACCACCCAACACTGGTCTTCTTTTCCACCTTTCAGTGTATTGCCACTTAAAATGTTGTACAACCTCATACCTTACCTTCTCTGGCTCCTCCAAGACTTCTCCTTCTACTGTGATGGTAGAAATAGAATTTCTACTCCTTCTGCTGCTAGCCATAAGATGAAAGTACTTAGTATTTTCGTCTCCATTAATGGTCCAATTTACTCTAGATTTTTGTTGCCATAGCCATTCCATCATACGATTAAGCTTCTAAACTTCAACTCTCACTTCCTTTCTTCTGCTCCTCTCATCCTCTACCAGAGGTCTATCTTCTGCCACAATGTCCAGCTCAACCAACTCCTCCTCTGCCTTCTTGATTTTTGTAACAAGATTCCCAAAAACTTCAAAATTCCATTTTTTCAGCTCCACCTTTAGAATTTTCAGTTTCTGAAACAAAACATACCCGGCCCTCCCAGTAATGCTAGATTCATGCCAAACCTTAGCCACTAAAGAGGGAAAACTAGGATCACTAGTCCAAGCATTAATGAACCTAAAAGGCTTAGGCCCCCAATCCCTCACGTCATCCATTAACAAAATAGGGCAATGATCAGAAAAAAGCCTAGGAAGACCCCAAACTTTGAAATTATACCTCAGCAGTCACTCCGGATTAAGCAGAATTCTATCGATCCTACTCCATTTCTCCCCATCTTGAGCATTGCACCATGTGAACTTCCTGCCTAACAAAGGTAGATCATGCAACGCACAACTCTCTATGAAAGAATTTAGATCCCTCATTCCTTTATCTTTTCTGGAACAGCCCACCCTTTCACCAATATTCCTAATCTCATTCAAATCTCCCCCCAAACACCATGGTTTTGGGAACTCATATTTTAACTTTAGTAAGGAATCCCAAAATTTGAATCTGCTACCCACCTCATTGGGGGCATATACATTCACAATAGTACACTCAAAAGTATTTAACAAAATACCTGATAAGAGAACAAATCTTCTATTACTGCAACAATCTACCAGCTGAAAAAAATCTGGGTCCCAGATACAAAGAAGACCCCCAGCAGTCCCTTCAGAACCCACAGCCATAAACTCCATGTTTCTCTTACCCCACAAAGCTCTAACAACATTCTCAGTAATAGAAGCTTGTTTTGTCTCCTGAAGAAGCACAATATCCACATTTCTTTCATAGATGAGCTTCCTAATCCTTCCCCTCTTTTCTAGCTTCCCCAATCCTCTAACATTCCAAGACATCAACTTCATTAGAAAACAATTTTAATACCATTCAGACCCCATAGATAGACTCAATGCTCCTATTCTTTCTTCTTCGTCTTCCTCCTTGCTCTGTCAACAACTTCTAGGTCCACCATTTTTTCCAGAACTTCCGCCTCTTTGCCTTTATAGTTAATGCCCAGAATTTTTCCCAACTGAATGTTTGCTTGTGCCTCACTAAGGATATGGCTTCTACTGCCAGAGTGGCTCTCATTAGAAGCAGATAGTGACAAAGCTGCAGCAACAGCCCTAAACACAGCGCATTTAGGGGAGGACTTGCTTGATGATGCACCTTTATGACCATACAAACGAGCAAGGTATGCATACCCACTAACCTCATTAGCTGATTTTGATGCTCCAGCAAAACTAACCTTTCTTTTACCTTTTCTTTTTGACTTCTGATCATTAATTCTGCTGCTTCTATCTCCATGTGGACATGTTTGCACCGTAGGCATGCTGGGTCTTTTAGGAGCCCAAATAGAATTAGTTAATCCAGTAGGTTGTATATTTGGACCCCTCACTACAATATCAGATCTATTGTACTCCACTGGACCATATAAATGGCCCAAATTTACTTCAAGGCTAATACCCGGCCCATGAACATCAGCCCCATTTAAACTCTTAAGAAAGCCAGGTGTACATAGTTGCTCCTCAATCCTTAAATTGTCATCATTAGCCTCAAGGCTACTCTCTGCCACCGCCACCTCCATACGCTCCTCAACCACCAAGTTGTTCCCCACGCCACTTGTAGTCTCTTCAACTATGGTGTCAACCAGATTGGTTTCCATCTCAGCTTCATCATCTTCATCCTCCACTACCAGATTATCAACAGACTTATCTTCATGACCCACCCCTATCGAATCTTGCTTATCAACTTCATTAGAGTTACGGTCTTCCACCCACTCGCTGGATAGTATGCTTCCACTGTCAAACGAAATATGTGGTTGTTCTTCACAAACCAAAACTGAATGGATTCTCCCTTTACATTCCAACTTAATAGTCTGATTGATAAACTCCATACAGCCCGTTGCAATTCTGACTCTGCCATGGCTGAAAGTCTCAGGTTGACTGATATTCCCATCTAGACTTAGAACACTACCCCACACGCTACCGATCTTGTTAAAGGTGCTTCTATTCCACATGCTCAGGGGGACACCGTAACATCTGAGCCACAGGCACCTTTCTTGCTCTGCTGTATCGTCTGATTCCCAGATTTTAATAGACTCACACCAATCCTTGAACCATTCTTTAATCGACAATATGTTAGCCAACATATCCTCTTTACTTTCCTGCCACCTCCCTTTCTAGCCAACACATGTCCCAATCCGTTCTCTTTAAGCACCATCCGAATGCTTTGCAAAGAGTACTCTGTCTTGAATTTCAAAATCGCGCTCTCAAATAGCCAACCATGCCCTTCTTCATTTACCTTAATGGTAGACGTTGTTTTGCCCATCGGTGTATCGATTCCGTCTTTGACCACATCCGCAAAGGATCTCTGTAAACCATGACGAGCTCGATCAAACCTTCCCCTATCTTCATGTCCACCAAAAATCCCTCCAGATTGGTTTCTTTTAACTGATCTATCTTCGATTCTGCCATACTCTGCCACATTGACTTTAAGCTCTCTGTCCTCGACCCACAATCCGTTGGCTTTCTGGACAGCGATGTTCGCCGCTACGGAGCAATCAAATCTAACAAAACCAAATCTAGTGTTTGTGGCTTTCCTTCTCTTCTGTGGGATAAAAACATCCCTCACTACTCCAAACTTTGTGAATAGTTGAAACAAAGCTTTAGGATCCATCTTCTGCGGTATATTATCCACAAAGATCTTTTCACTAATAATCCCGCCCAACCTACATATATGAAAACAAACGTGGCCTATCTATTATTGTTTCATCAATATATATTGACTGTTTTCCAGCTTTTGGTCGTTGTAGAGCAATGCTGAGGACGTGGATTAATAATGATCTTGAAATTCTTGAACTGCTTGAAGTCTGTCGGTGACTGGTTTTCTTTATTTCTGCTATCATCCATGCCTGTCTGATAGGTGAAACCTTCTGATTTCTTTTGTTATTGCTCTGTATTATGCAAAGCCGTGCAATTTGGACAACTATTTACATGCTTTATTCAATCTAATCCGAGTTGTAGTCTCTTGGTAGAATAAAAGTATCGACTCCTTTTTATTCAAATTTGTTTATTATTATTCTCATAGGTTGAAGAAACAAAAATTTTAAAATAACTCTGATGTTGAACAAGATCTTTTACTCAATGATCTTCAGCTCTACAATACACAGAAGGATTGCTTTAAAAACTAAGTTCTAGTTGCCTCTGTTTGTAGCTAGGAGTTGCAGTTGGGAAAATTCGAGTTCACAGATAGCTGGCTGCCACTCAATTCTAGACTCCACAGTATGTGAATTCATCAGTGCGTTTAACTATTTTTGTAACCAATGGCACCTTATGGTAGTTCATCCTTGGATTGAGAAATGCGATCTCTAAGGTGAAAAGGCCAACTGCATGGTGTGTATATATAGTTGTATATTGTGTTATATTAGTTGATTGGTAGTGATTGATTCACCTTCCATATTAGTATATATACTCTCCTCCTATATTTAAGAGCTCAATGTAGTAGGTTAAATATACAATAATATACACACAGCTTATTCTCTCTCTACAATATATCAACATGGTATCAAACTAATAATTTTTTTTTTCTTCTTTTCTTCTGTTCATCACCAGAATACATCATCTTGTTTCTGGTTTTCACTTTTGGGTACTAATTGCACACTGTCAGGCTATCTTGTTCACTATTTTACTCCGAAAATATTATCACCTTGCTCGGAATTTCCTTACGATTCCAACGCCACCAAAATCATTGTCAACAAATTACTCACGTGCCCTCACGCGCCGCCTCTGTTGTTGCGCGTCATTGGCTTTCGTCACCACTCGCCCACGCGCTTGCATGCACATCTCTGTGTATCCCTGACGTCAACCTCTCCGTGTTGACATCAGCCCTAAACTACTTCCATCAGCTAATTTTGTTAGCCGCCGCTCTATGCTAGCCGCCTGACCAAGCCGACTAACGTTCGCCTAATATCAGTCCTTTCTACTGTGCATCCAGTCCTCACTTGCTAACTTATTGATGATGGTTCTCTCATGTCTGTGAGTCATATTGGTTTTGTTTCTACATCTCATTTGTCCTTATCCTATGCTTATCTTATTCTTGCTCTCACTTTAAACCTTATTTCCATTAGTCAGCTATATGAATATGGTCTAACTGTCACCTTTTCTAGTAATGGTTGTTTGGTGCAGGACCCTTAAAGGGGACAGACCCTTGGGATTGACCATAAGCATAGACGTTTCTATGAGCTCATTCATCTTCATGTTCCAATCTCCACTCCATTGGTTGCCCCTACATTTGCCTCATCCTCATCTACCTCTACCTTATCACGTTTTCATCTTTGGCATTGTCGTTTAGGTCATATTTATGTTAGTCGGTTGAAATATTTAATTTCTAGTGGTCAGTTAGGTCCTGTCTCTTCAGACACTTTAGATTGTTTATCTTGTCAACTTGCCAACAACCGGCTTTATCCTTTAATGAAAGTAATTATGTTTTTTGTGCTCTGTTTGATCTTATACATTCTAAAAGTTGGGACCCATCTCCTACACCTACCATGGGGGGATCATGCTATTTTGTTATTTTTGTTGATGATTTTTCTCGTTATACTTGGATATTCCTTATGAAAAATCGTTCTGAACTTAAACAACTTTATTACAATTTTGCTAAAATGGTTCAAACCTAGTTTTCCAAAGCTATAAATATTTCGTTCTAATAATGCTATGGAATATAGGGATTTCGATTTTTTATCTTTTCTTCAGAGTCGTGGTACTTAGCCTCATCGTTCTTGTGCCGCCATGTCTCAACAAAATGGACATGCTGAACGAAAATATAGGCATATTCTTGATACTACTCAGGCTCTTCTCATTTCTTCATCTTGTCTTGAAAATTTTTGGAGGAAAGCTACTCTTATTGCTGTTTACACTATTAATTATGTACCTACCCCGATCTTTCATAATCAAACACCCTACGAGTGATTGTATGGCATTTCTCCTTCTTACACCTCACTTCGAGTCTTTGGGTCTGCATGTTTTGTTCTTCTCCAGCCTCATGAACACACCAACCTAGAACCTCGTTCTTGTTTGTGTTGTTTTCTTGGATATGGAATTGAATATAAAGGTTATTGATGTTGAGATCCCATTTCTAGGCGTCTTCGTATCTCTCGCAACATAGTCTTTTGGGAACATAAAATGTTTGCCTCTCTTTCGCCCTTTAATTTATCTTCTCCAGCTTCCACTCTTCACTTTACTCATCCCTTTATAGATTTATTTCCTGAAGATTTTGATGTAGGTCTTCCTTTTCTCTCTCTAGAGATGCCATTGCCTACACTTAATTGTACCGAGACTGTTCTCCCTGATGGTCCTCCTAGTGTCTTTTTGGCCTTCTCACCTCTTAATGAGTCTTCACCATCTCGCTCATCTCCTTTTTAGCCTCCTTGTTCTAGTCGTCCACAAAGGGTAACACAACCTAATGTTAGTCTTCGTGATTATATTGTTGGTTTTACTATATTTTCTACTTATGAGCTTACCTCTTATCGTGAGGCTTGTTCTAACCCTCTTTGGCAGCTAGCTATGACTGATGAATTGCAGGCATTAGACAAAACTCATGCTTGGAATATTGTTGACCTTCCCTCTGGTAAGACTGCTAGTGGTTGTAAATGAGTTTATAAAATCAAGACTCATTTAATGGATCTATTGAGTGATACAAAGCTTGTTTGGTTGCCCGAGGTTTCACTCAAGAATATGGTATTGATTATAAGAAGACTTTTGCTCTTATTGCTCGCCTCACTTTTGCCCATAGCTTGATTGTTGTTGCTGCTACTCGTCATTGGGTCTTTTTTGAGATGGATATGAAAAATGACTTCCTCAACGGAGATCTTCTTGAGGAAGTTTATATACAACCCCCTCCTAGGTATATTGTTCTGTTAAATAAAATATGCAAACTACAGCGTGCTTTCTATAGACTTAAGCAAGCTCCCCGTGCTTGGTTTGCTAAGTTTAGTGCTACTATTCATGACTTTGGCTTCAACTCAAGCTCTTATGACTCTGCTTTATTTATTCGTACCACTGCTTAGGGCACCACTCTTCTTCTTCTTTATGCGGATGATATGATTATCACAGGTGACAATGAGGCTAATATTCTTAGCCTAAAATAGTTTCTTAGCCACCACTTTGAGACGAAGGATCTTGGTACACTTAATTATTTCTTGGGTCTTGAAATCTCTCATGACTCGACTGGCTATTTTCTTTCTTAGGCTAAATATGCATCTGATCTTCTCACTCAAGCTGCCCTTACTGATTGCATAACTGTCTCTACTCCAATTGATCTTTAGACTCGTCTTACTCGATCAAATAGCACTCTTCTTCCCAATGCTACACTCTACCGACAATTGGTAGGCAACATTCTCTACCTTACAATTACTCGTCCTGATATTCATACGCTGTCCACATTGTCAGTTAGTATATGTCGGCTCCTCACACGCCTCATTATGATGCCCTGCTTCGCATTCTTCGCTATCTCAAGGGCACACTTTTTCATGGTCTTCATTATTCTGCTCACTCCTCTCTGAAGCTTCATGCTTATTTTGATGCTGATTGGAGTGGGGATCCCACTGATCATCGTTCTACTACTGGTTTTTGCTTCTTCCTAGGGGATTCTCTTTTTCTTAGTATAGCAAGAAACAAACTCCCACTGCTTGCTCTAGTACTGAGGCTAAATATCGAGCTCTTGCAGATACTGCCTAGGAACTTTAGTAGCTTCAATGGCTCTATCACAATCCCAACCCACCCCTAAGGGTTAGAGGGGTATCGGCTAGTAATCATAGATTACCTAAGGCCTCTTTGACCAAATCTAAAAATATTTATTTAATATTGGGACCTGAAGCGGAAGCGGAAGTAGAACAGAAATATCATTGTTTATTGAGCAATGAATGCATGACATGACAAACACATATTTATAGTTACATGCACACATTAAATATATTACATAAAAAACAAGCATTCATATTACCAAATTTTGAATTAAATGACTTCACAAACTACTTCTCAAAGGAGGCAATAGGGGCCTCAACTTGGGTGGCATTTCCAAAGGTTTCACAAAAGCTGTTGAAAGCAAAACTCTAAGCTTGATCTTCCAAATGCTCACCTACATATATATAAGGAGAGGAGGTGAGCTAAAGTCCAATGAGTAGTAATAAAGTAAGGTGGTAAATGAATGAACATTGGAAGCTTTAAACATTCTTTCAAAATAACATAATTTCTTGTACAAGACAAAGCGTAGCTTAACTTGTATACAAAATACATAGTGATGAGCATTCAAGGAAAATAGGGTGCTTAATCGGCCTAGGTATCGGCTAAACGTAATAAGATGAGCTCGGCCATAAGACATGATTGGATATACCCCCAATTGGATATACCCCAAACAGGCTCCAAGATTGCCATGTAAGTAGATGATACAAAAGTATAGAATGTTCATTCATAGAAAACATAATAAGCTTGTAAACATAATCAAGTTTGTCATTGAAAACATAATTTGTCAAACATAGTGTTACTAAATTACTACTCACAATGAGCTCGGTGAATAAGGATTAGCCTCCTCAAGCTTGACCTACACAAGACAAGAGCAAAACATTGAAACATTTGAATAATCCTTACATTCCTATACCAATTGGTCATGCTGTTAAACATTAATTCTCTTTCCTATTTAAATATGCCTTAAGTGGGTTTCTAATTATGTTATCCTTGGGCCTACATGTCAAAACATACCTAAAAGTGTCCAAAGAAAGAAAGAAAATTGTCACAACTCTAACTTGCCCCTAGAGGTTCAGGTCGTGACCGGCCAGCAATCTCGAATTACATTTGGCTTCAAAGTCAAAATCAATCATAATATAACAATGGGGTTTAGAGGAAGTAACAGCATAACATAGTAACAGACCATTGAGCAGTGCGTACATGCCAAAATCATAAGCATTAAAAATCTTAACTCCATACAACTTATATACAATATCTCGAAGTCAGACTTCTCACCCAACTACATTCATTCAAGTTACAAAATTGACCAAAGAACAAAGCAAAATAAAAGTTGGGTTGACAATGCCTGACTTCTCTCGAGTCCAAGCTCATCTCTTCACAGAGGCACCTTCCAAAACGACTTCAAAAGGGTAGACACTACGGCAGCCTTAAACTTGACGTTCCGCTTGCTCACCTACATATATAAGGGAGATGGGTGAGCTAGAGCCCATTGAGTAATATCAATATAAAGGTTTGTATGAATGAAGTCCAACAAATTACAATCATATCTTCCATTTTTGAAACAATATATGTCAATAAGCAATTCAATAGAATTCAATCATTTTAATCCCTCCTTGCAATGGCGATAAACAATCATTCCATTTATGTGGTACATCCAATAGAGTTCAATAGACAATGTACCGAAGCCAATAGGGCCACAAGGATCAATCCAATGAGACCGTGATAGGTCATTCAATAATTCAATGTGGACCTTTAAGATCTAACATCAGAGATCTCTGTGTTTCAATTAATCCAATAGGCCATGGCATTGTTTCCCCCGAGCGAGAGCCAATGGGCCATGGTATTGTTTCCTCCAAGCAAGGGCCTCACTAAGGGATGCCACAAATATGTTTCAAAAATGAACATTCATCCATGAATAGCAAAATAGAATTCAAAATACTAATCTTGCACAATTCCCATATACATTTTGAACATAGCTTTAAAAAGACATTGCTCATAGTGGGTTAGATCAATACTAGGCTTTGGATGTCCACCTACACAAATTACATAACACTGATACACGTTGAACCACACGTTTGAAAAAAGAAACGTATCTTAATTATTCTCTTACGTGTGTTTCTAACTTATTCCATGATTAAGGATGTTTACATGATGCAAAAGAATGCCTAAATGGCATTAGCATGCAAACATGCACTTATAATTGTTAGGCAAAATTTGCTGAAAATATGGTATCCGCTTAAGCGCATACTTGGTTGCTCAAGCAGTCCAAGAATATGTAGAGGGTTCGCTCAAGCTCACACTTGGTCGCTCGAGCCGTCTATAAAGACTGCAAAAGTACTGGATGCTCAAATTTTACGCTCGATGGTCGCTTGAGCCAAGTTCTAAACAAAAGTGGGTTCGCTTGAGCGCACTCTTGGTCGCTCGAGCCAACGACCAAATGTCTGTAAAAGTACTGGATGCCCTTCACTCGAGGAACGAATTCTTTGCACGAGCGAACTGGATGAATTCTGAGTTTTCTAGATTTGTGCCTTTGGACAATCAACACATTCAAATTTGATTAAACATCAACTGTATCTCCTTTGGTTCCTTTCCTCACCCAACCTACTTTCTTCATCCTAATGTACAACACTTTCTTCCAATTGTTGATCCATATAAGGCTCAGCTTGAGGATCATTAGATTCCATATCAAATAATCCTCTTTGAGACCTCTTCACAACAACATTCCAGTCTGGTTCTAAGGGATCCGGAACATACCA